AGTGGTACGGCACCCGGTCCTGACAGGATCAAAGCAGAACAACTTAAGAGCCTTCCGTCAGTCCCTGTAGATATTCTGGCCCGGCTTTTCACGCGGTACCTGTCTGAATGCAAAGTGCCCTTTCAGACAGGTACCGCGTTAAAAGCCGGACCTTTGTGGAAAACTAGAAAGATCGTGTTGCTGTACAAGAAGGGAGATCCAGACGACATTTTCAATTATAGCCCAATTTGCTGTCTGTAAACTATTCACACGAGTCTACCTTAACAGGATTGGCAGAATATTAGATGAAGGTCAGCCATGCGAGCAAGCAAGGTTTCGGAGAGGGTTCAATACAATCGATCACATCCACACCGTTACAAGACTCATTGAAGCATTGCGGGAGTACTAAATGCCGTTGTGTCTTACGTTCAGATTGGCCGGTTCGCAGTGGGTTTCAGTTTCTCGTATAAAAAAAGTTCGCCCTGCTCGGAACGCTCGAATGCTTCTCCGTGGAATACTACCCATTTGGATAACTTGCTTGACGCGGTTCTTCTCGTTTACAATCTTCTGAAATTTCGAATTTGAAGGCTATAGCTTTTGAGGGAATATGAACTTCGTAATCGCGGTCCAATGCACACACTGACAATTATACACAAAAGTATACATTTAACCAATTAGATCGAAAAGGCACTAGACATACTATGTACATGCATTCACGCTCATTTAAAAATAACTGGTCTGCTCTGCACAGCAAGCTTGCGGGACTGGTCAGTTTTTTTTTTGTACATGAGCGTGTATACGTAACGTGCGTAACAACAAAGAATGCATCTGTCTTTGAATTCCTTAGCTCTAAAACTTGTAGCGCTTAATTGCTATTTTAAAGGTACAGTTCACGATGAATGGCTTATGAGATATCCCGCTAAGATAAGTCTGAGGTCCCTCGCATATCACATAAGATCACATAACTCTAAAAGTGCATATTCAAGTAATACCAGTTCTGGGACAGATAGACAAACAAGCACAAGTGAATTCATCACATGTGATGTATCTATAAGCAGCAAGTAATAACGATGACCACAAATATGGAATGATTTTGAAACTCTGTGGTTGTCTCTTAACAGGATAGTCAGTTTTAGAATGGCTCTTCCCGTAAAGGTTTGAGCATACTTCCTTTGCCAGCCTTTATTTTTCTATGAATTTGAATCAGTTATTAGTTAAGTTTCCTTCTCTTTGTTTGTTGTCCCATTATTCTTATTGGTTCGAATTTTCTTGGCAACTGGTTGCTACGAAACCAAATACAATTTTTCCTTACGGCCCACCTTCTGTGCATGCCCTTCATTGCTTAGCTCGCATTGTCTGTTCTTATCCTAAGCTCAACCATCCTCAACCCGACCACTCCACGTACATCTTAAGNTGTCTGTTCTTATCCTAAGCTCAACCATCCTCAACCCGACCACTCCACGTACATCTTAAGGGGATACCAAAGTTCTTAAGATGATACCAAAGTCTGTAAAAGACGATAGACGGACTTCTTACACATTTTCGGACAAGAATAATCATTCCATTGCTCTCTGTCTTTATGAACATTAACACCAACTATTATTCCTCCTCTATTGTATTATTGTAATGCATTTCTTCCCTTATACTGACTTGTGCAGCCACATTCCTTTGATTGAATAACTACTCAGCAGTGGATGTTCCAAATATTACCTTTTAATGAGTGACGTTGGCATGTGGTGCTCGCCTTCATCAGTACCTATCACCAATGATGTCACCTCGCGTCAAAATCTCCACGCTCCTTTTATTTTTCCTTGACTTCTTAGTCTTCTCGTTCTTCTTGTTCTTCTTCGAGCCCTTTCACCCTCTCCTCTGCCGCTATGTGAATTCCGGAGAGGTCCTTCTTACGTCTGTACACTATTTCTCTGGTTTTTTAGGTAGTGCCCTCTTTTGAGTTTGGAATCCGACTGCTTTCCTTGCGAAATGACCTCGTGTTCTTTGCATCACGTGCACACATCGCCACTTTTTCCTCATCTTCGTTGAGTTCCAACTGGAAATACCTTTTTTGATCACTGCCTTTGACCCACACTGTATACCTTTTCCTTGATCATCCTGAAGCACCGTTGGTCGCCGTGATACCACCCTGGACCCTCCCTTACAATCTATGCCATTCCTTAGTGACGGATGACTTGTACTCTTTCGATATGTTTCGCAAGGAGTCTGTGATTGATCTCGAACCGTACACTGAGGAGAAGGTGTCTATCTTGAACCTAGTCAGGACATGTTCTTTCTAGCATTGTTCTTATTAATTATTCTTATTCTTTCCTGGATATTCTTTGCTATGTGCTATTTTAATCACCATTATTCCATGTCACAGAAAGTAGGGAACCCTGTCTCAAAAAGTGCGCTGCTACTGATATTGTAGATGAGTGTAAAACGTAAAATTAAACTAGGGCTGATTGATTGTACTTCTAAGAAGTAGTTACTGCGAAAACTTCGAGAGATCTATTTCAGCTTCTCCCGCTAGAGCTAGCAAAGCAGAAGGCAATGCTCGATCGAATGAAGGCTCTGTCGTCACGTCGGCAAACGCGCAGGTAAATAGTATACCGTGTATAACAATCTACTTCTCAGACTCTGTGGCTCAAGAGCTGGGTTAGGGTTCCTCAGTAGTGGATTTGGATGGATCTGGAAAGGATTGGCTGAGCCATTTAACGCATATTTATATAATAGCAAACTCTGTAATTCTCGAAGGATTTCGGAGTTTGTTAAGACAAAAAATATTCAGATTATTTACAGTTTTCGAATGATGTCCGCTCGTTCGAAAGCACAAGGGAGTTCTTCTAGTTGGACCCCGTTCATTTCGTGGTAAATGCAATCTGTAGGCGCTTTGGTTAAACGACCATCACACAATAAACTAGTGCTTTTGACTCACCAGACATCGATCTGGAGGAGCTTCTCTGGTATTTGAGTATTATCGGAGCTTGAAGCTCCAGACTCCCTGCTGCAAGTGTACGTGATCGAGTTGCTTCATTATAAGCAACGACCTCCCCACATCCTTCCAAATGGATATCCTTCCATTACTTTACCGCTTCATCATTCCTTCTATGTCTGGAGTATTTGCCATGTTGCTCGCTTTTTGCTGCTCAACTCCCGAGCCAGTACGCTTTTTATTTACTTCTCTTTGTTCGATGAACCTGGGTGAAGCGTACACATAATTTTGACGCATCAAGTTTAATGGGCCACCACCTTGCATATGGTGAACAACTAACACTGCTCCTTTTTTCCATTCTAGCCGTCACTTGTCATTTCTGCCTCGAGGCAAGGTTGGCTCATTACTGATTTCAGCCTCCCATCCTTCTTATTTGAATTACATCGCATATGAGGTTTTCGGAAAACACGGCATGCTGCTCGAGTTTCTCGGCTTCTGAAGCTCCAAGGGACCAACAAATTATCTCTTCGAATCTCTCACTAACACTTCCTGGTTTTGGTTTTTCTACCCGAACGACATGTCGCGTTCATCGCATCAGATCGCGCTTAGTCGCGCGCTGTAAAGGGGAAAATACGTCTATCCAGTTAAAATACGGCAATGGTCGCGAAACCATTGCCAATCCCAATGGGAAATCGGATGAAATTACCATCACCTCAATTCTGGAACCTCACCCTAAAAAAAGATTTATTAACACGGTCTCATGAAAACGTTCGGAGCGGTAACTCCTCGACTCATTTCACCTCACCTCCTTTCAATGAAGGTCAGTGATTGAGGATATAGTAGAACATAGAAGAAGCAGTCTTATTGATGAGAGAAAATTCGAGTTGAAGATCGAAAGGAAATGGCATATGAAACGTTTCTCCTCGACAATTTTTCCTATAGAAAAACGGAAAAATCCTACTTACATCACCTCACCTGAGAGCATCTACATATAGTGGACGCAGTCTAATTCATGAAAACTGCACTCACGAAAACTGGCCAAAGGGGAGACTGAATTGGCGAAGTTTCTGTGAAGTGAAGTGAAGGAGCCTTTGGCCTGTTTTCATGAAGTCCTTATCCCTCTATCCGTAAGGATAGAATGTACATGGTAAAAAATACTGACAGTGATGTTATCAGTAAACAATTTTAGTACCTATCTCTGAGCTTCATTTAGACTTGTTGTCGTTTTGGCTACTTTGAACTCTTTGCTCTTCACTTTTATTGGTGAGCTTTCAGCGTATAATGCCTTCGTCAGAGCACAATCATTTACAATATATTGCTGCATACAATCAGTTACTAATAGTTGCGATGCAAAACACATCGAATCATACCAAGTCAACCGAAAATATTGGGAAGGAGGGGAGGGAGGGGAGGAAGGGGAATGGACCTGTCGGAACTCAAAGGAAAAATGGACGCCGCTCTTGTCCTGAAAGGCGACTAAGTTGTTCAAAAAAATGGACCTACTGAGACTGACAGTCTCAGTAGTTCACCCATCTCCTTTCGCATTGATTTCCGGCTTGATGCGGTATATTTCCCGCGCCTTCATAATTTTCCTTTCCAGGGGCCGTACCGAATATCTGTGCAAAACCCCCACATCGAAGAAGTCATCTTTCTTATGCCTAAGTGTGCGGTGCCTGAAAGAAACTACTGTGTGGATAGGCAGCGGGATTGGCCAACGCTCTTCTAAGTTTATCTAGACGGACCGATCTTCAGTGGTCCCGCGGTCTCCACCAAGTACCACATCCCCCACATTGAAACGAATAGACGGTGCCCCAAAGTTCACAGATCTTTTCAAAAGTGCAGTATCGACAAGACTGTTCTCGGCAGAGTTTCTCGTAGATTCGAGACGATGTTAGGAATTTTCTCAGTGTAGGGGGAGGTCGGAGAACAAGTCGAATGGGAGCTAGGAGTTCCTGAAAAGGCGGTTTACTTTGTCGCTGACAAAGGGCACAATGAGGCTCACACCATCAGCCGTCCTGTGCGGGACTCAAGTTCTTGTATTGACTTTGAAGTATCCGTTGCTTTCAGGGATACTTTCAATTCTAGCATCAACAACTTAATCCCTTAGCAACCAAAGCTTCTCCTTCGTTTTTAAAAGATTCTGCACGACGTGTGCCTCCGTATAAATAGGACATGCGCTCCTAGAATGCAACAATCTGTTCGGCGGAGCACTTTTTCTATACCACAGGTGTTCCTTATGTCCTTCACTAATTTGTGTCTTCGCACTGAAGAATGGAAGGAATCCATCTCTCCCCAGATCTTCCCTGGTGGAGGTTATGTTAGCATCGTGAAACTTAAGTCTCTTCAATGTTTCCACAAAATCTTCTTCCGTCGTTTCGACAATGAATACGTCACCAATATAACGTTTGTAGAGCAAATTTCCACTAGTTAATGATGACTTCTCGATGTGGTGAAAGACGATGACCGCTAATACAAGTACCATGCGATGACCTATGGCAAGGCCTTGTTTTTGCTTGTAGAACTTATCGTCAAAGTAAAAAATGTTGCATTCCAGTGCTGCTTCGATGACATCCTTAACTTCGCCGAGGGAAAATCGCATCATCGTGATATGGTCTTCATTATCCTCGGTAAGAGATAATTCAGCTTGCACTGCTCCCTCGTTATTCAC